GTACAAATAAATTGTGAGGAAATCTTTTTAACTACAGTGTATAATTTATCATTTTTAAATTACCTGTCATAAATAATGTCTTCCATATTGTAATGATACTGTAGAAAATTTAAGTTGACAACACTTTGTTAGAATATACATTATGCTAAATTGCATGTCCCTGCTTTTTGTTATCATAAGATAAAAGGGACAGCATTCATAAAATTTATCTGGACAACTTTTATCCATTTTATTCTGGCAGTATACTTTTACTTTTGTAGCTGTAATATTTTCACGACATGCCATATAAATATATAAAATCTATGGAGGATGTCTAGATAGTAAACCGTACGTGTTTTGCATTGCTACTTCCGAAAATGCAAAGGGAAATAAAAAGCGTGAAATTTATAGAAAAGAGTGATACAGATTTGTTGAGGAATATAATACATTGTAAGGTAATCGCGTGGAACTATGGGAGTTATAAAAGTAAATGGGTGGTTAAAGGTGGACCGACCGAATAAAATTTATCGATACTTACACGTGACGTTACGATGAAGTTCGCAGTAAATGCTCTCTTCCAAGAGATAGACCCGCAGATAAAGCTAATTGGCTTTTGAAACTCTGGGGAAATGTGACTGTCATGCATTTTAACAACTAAAAAAGAAATACAACTTATCCACTTATATTCTCGGGCATGGAATTATTCGTAAATATTAAACAGGTTTATTTTTATTTAAAAAAAAGAAAGAACTATAAGTGAACATTATTTATTCACACATAGTAATACAAAATTAATAATTTATTATTACTGGAATGAAAAATCTCCATCTATAATTGAACAATTAAACCTCAATAAGTAATTATATAAGTCTTTAACGTTCAAGTTGAGAGTTTCAGGTTGAAAGCAGCGTTATTTCGCCGTAGCAGCGGAAGGGCTATTTGATAATAGAAAAATTTATAAAGCATGAAGTAAGGGAGGCGAACGTATGGTGCGATTGTTTCGAAGCGTTGAAGATTCGAATTCCAATACTTGTGGAATGCAATGTTATCGTCTGTATGTGTTATCCACCATGAACGCCTGTTGCACCGCTATACTTCTCGGTATAACATAAGAGTATTACACGAGAAAGGATCCTCTATATGCACTTTACTCGTTATGAATTTTTAATAAAAGCACAATGCTGGTATCGATCGATTTTCAAGAGATGAACACTGTGCTTGAAATAATCGAAGCGTGGCAACACTCAGAAAAATTTCAACATAACCTACAAATATTAATTATGACTCGAGAAATGAGAATCGCCATGAATATTTATCGGGAGCTTATAATCAGTTGATCAATTATTTAAACACGTTTACATTTCAAAGTGTGACTTTTTTAAAAAATATCTCTGCAAATTTCTAACAGATTTTTACTACCTAAAATTGATGAAATATTTCAAGCTATTGTTCTAAGCAACTTTTTCATTTTATTGATTTCTTTTTTAAAAAGTTATATTTAGGTGAAAGAATTGAAATTTAGTAGAAAATCTTGTACCCCACATATTTCCCGATTAAATATTCCCTGTCCCCTTTCACCGACTTTCAATTTCCTCAAGAGACGACAGTTAATCGGAAACTGGTTCCGGAAATGAGCGGAAGTCATTCGCATCTTGTAAAGCGACGTTCGTCACCGTTGGATCGAAAAGCTGGATCTCCTGCTATTTTTATCGATTGCTCAATCATCGAAGCTGTTAAGCTCTTTTTTCTTTGGTTTCTTGGCTGTCCAGTATGAAATGTGATAAAGAAATGTACTTTCTTTACACCTTTTCACGGATACTTAAGTTACATTAAATTAAAATTTTTTGAAGATTTCATTCAAAACTTATAAATGGCAGATAAATAATTTTACTTGATAGATTTTTTACAGATACTTCTATAGTGTATCTATAGATACTTCTATACTACGAGGATTTCTTTAGTATCGAAATTATTCTGTTTTGTAAATTTCTTGTTTATTACTTAATTTAATTCATAAATTTTACAGTATCTTTTGCTAGATTTAACTTGAATTTATATCTGTAATTAAATTAATATTTTTACTACCGTACACATCGGTTTCTGATCAATTCTTTTTATTACATCGAAATTAACATTATCAATTCCGTATGTACACATTTGTGTATTTTTATTCTTCATAATACTTCACTATCGTTTCTTTTATCTAGAAGAAGTTTATCGACTAAGTAGATACCAGGAGATTTTTCATAAAAAATGCAACCACGCTTGACTTCTTCCGGTCCCAAGTGTGCTCTTAGTGCGCTTTCAGAGGTTAAAGCGTTAACAGGTCTTCTTCTTTCCTCTTCAATCTCTCTCTTTAATCGCACTAATGTTCTTAAAAAATCCTCTTTGCTTTTAAACGAAATTTCTTCATAAATCAATTTAATGGTGCAAAAGAAAAGTACTTTTAAATATTTTAGGACCCTTTCTGTATTAACAGATACAATAGATTTCATATATTTTTATATTATACAACACCTTGTCATACTTCGTTGGAAGTCGGTTCTTTCAAATTATCTCATTGCTTAAACCTTTGACAAATGGATAGTTAGCAAGCAAATGAAAGGGATTACGAATATGTGACAAAAATTCCTACAAAAGTGTGAAGGATTTATGGAGGCCCATAGACATGGAAAAATTCAACTAAAATTCTCAACGGTACATAAACAATTCATCACATATGCGATAGGTCTAGATCTATAGGTACTCTGTTCCACATCGTTTCTCAGTCGCCTCTCGAGGGGTGCCAAGGGGTAAGTTCTCAAAATCAGGGAGGTACAGTTGAACGATTCAGACAATCCCCGATAAATAAAAGAAAAAACCAAAGTAGAAACAGAATTGAGTAAGAAGCAATACGAAGAAAGAAAAAGCTGCAGGTACAGTTTTATAATCGTCGATTGCAAATTTTATTCCCCTCGATGAAATTAGAGCAGCGTTTCATTAGCGAGCAGTGGGTGGAGGGCTCGTTAAAGAGGACACTATGATAAATATCTCGCGGAAACGTGACATTCGTTGGCGTAGTTGCGTTTAATTATACGATTACCGAGTTGGGTAGCATACGCGCCTCACGGCTCGTCTCCAAGCTGCAGATCTTTCAATTATTTTCAGCGGTACACGCCACGTTGTCGGAAGCTGTGCCAGAGACACCAGAAACCGAGTTACACAGCGACAATGAGCTGTATTTTCACGAGACAATTTCTTGTTACACAGCGGCGGCGGAGTTGGAAAACGCGAATACGTGATACGAATTAATTGTTAGTCAGAGCGAAATTCGTGTATGTTTACGAGGCTATAGTGTCTCGAGGTGTGTACAAAGCGAGCCCTTTGGTTGGAGCATGAAGGAGATCTCATCGAGGGTTTGGAATCGGTAATGCGTCGTGATAGATGTAAAATGATATTTAAGTATAACAGTAATCGAGCTTTCATGGGGTTAGGAGTACACCATTCCGAGGCGTTTAAAAACAGGTAACGTTTGGAAATTCTTTTCACAGGTACTGCTAAGTGAAAAGTTTCAATTTTTTTTTTAGGAGATACAAATGTAACTTTCAGCTTTTCTTTTCGATTTTTGAAAAGTAAAAATATTACAAAATGGGGAAGTTATTGCGAAATTTCTTCTGCTAAAACATCAATCGATGGCCGCTATCGTTGGCAAGAATTGGAACGTCTGAAATAAAAAATTTTTTTTCATTTCTAAATGAGAATGTATTACCTATGATGTAGCGCACGATTTTTTCGATGTATCAATTATTTAATTGTTTGGAAACGTTCAAAGTTGATTTTTTCTTGTTGGCAAAATGTGGATTTTCTCTTCCAACTGTCACCAGTTCTATGATAATTACAATTTTTAAAAAATCCTAAGCTACATCGGGGATAATACATTTTTATTTATAAATCAACAAGAATTTTTTATTTCAGACGTTCCAATTCTTTCCAGCGATTGATGTTTTAGTACAATTATAACAATAGCGTATAATAGCATAATTAATGATTAATAATAATTAAATAAAATGTTCATATGCAAAAAATTGCTTATCGTGTTTTCTTTAGGTCATGTAATATTTCACTGCTACTAATTTTACTAATCTAAGAATTTAGAGTAGTGTTGCGTTTCAGCCAGTGATAACATCTGCAATAAGTCGGACATTCAAGAAAGGAGTTCTTTGTCGCGTTGCTGTTTGCGGTTTCAGCGGGTTTCGAGAGAAGAATTAAATTGTCCGTGAATAAACAACATAATGTGCTATGTGTTATTTTCGTCAGGATGTTTTTTTCTCATGTAAAACAAGTTTCAATTACGTAGATGACACGCTGGATCTCCCTTCGCTTGTGTTATTTTTAACAAGCTTCTACGACGCGTTTAATTCACGCCTTTAAAGTAAATATTAACAGCTTAATAGTTCTACATGAGAAACGAAGATACATCACTGTGCCGAAATCCCAGAATTCTCGTTAGTACTGTGTATTAGTTGTAAGATTTTTCTTTTCACAGTACTGCAAATAAATTAGCACGCCTTTCCTTCGGTGATAATTAAAGCTCGGTAATTTTTGATACGTATGCAATTGCAAGCAGATGTAAGTAGTTTAGCTGAGTGAAAATTGGAAGAAACTCAATAAAACCGAGGAAGGTCAATTAGAAGACTAGGAAATTTAAGTAGGATATTCACCAATAATTGGTCTAATTTCGTTTCTCAATTATCGAGAAACTAATGTCACCGTTGAATCAAAGTTTAATGAGAAAATTAGAATCACTATATTGCAGAATAATTGGAAAAAATATTTTTAAAAAATGATCGAGATGAGAATAAATAATTTTATAAGTAAATTTTACTAAATGTCAATCCATTATCGATTCAATTCAACGAAATCAATGCTTACCCTAATTATGCTGGACTTTCCCACCCTAGGTGCACCGAGAAACACAACTTTGACACGATCCAGAGTGTCTGCGGGGCTTTCTTCCTCTTTCGATCCACTTTCGGTGTTTTCACAGGTTATTGTCTCGCCTCCTCTCCTTTCCAAGTAGTCCAGATCGAGCTCTGTGAACCATTTACACAATCCATCCCTCAAAAATGCAGAATAGGAAATTTAAATCGTTGACAAAATTGTCTCCATTTTAGCAACACAGACAGCTATTACTTTAACCCTCAAACGCATGATTTCTCCAAATTTAATATAGCACCTTGACGTTGTATGTCTCGATAAACCATGGAAAAATAATTTTAAAAATCCATCTTATTTTTTTGTATTTTTTTATTCGAGAAAAGAGTTTGGTGCCAAATGGCTACATGTGTAGGACATATAAAACAACTCTAAGTGATTAAATAAACTACGTACTTTGTTGCTTGTGTAGCACAAATTCTAAAATACTATACTTTAGCGTAACAACACTAGAAATATAAAATTATGCAATAGTTACGAATGACTCTGGAATAATTCAGATTATGATATGTGAGGGTAGTAAAATAAAGGATACGTAGTTTAGATGTAAAAATAGGCGTCTTCTATTGAATGCAACAAGTGTTATTTTTCTACCACTTGTTTAATTTAATTGAATTTAATTGAAATTCTGGTCATGGTACGAAATGGTAACACGATGCATTTAAGGGTTATATCCATTTAAAAATAAGTTACACTATTGAAAATGAATTATTTTAGAAATTATGAAAATTTCAAACGCTAATTATTAAGAGATAAAACACGTCCACAAAATCGTGTACAAATAGCTAGGAATTCTTTTTCTTATTTCCAAGTAGGATTCAGAACGTGTCACAGTAAAGCTTAGAGTGTTGCCTGAGGAATTTATTATTCATGAACAAGGCGAATATTTCTGCATGTGACGTACAAGATTTCTCTTCCTCTTTTCCTTGGAATATGGAATCACGTTTAGTCGCCAGTTAGAATATTACATTTATTTCACGATTTATTTGTCATTCGGTGAAGTGATTGATCGTTGCAAGCAACGTGGTTCTACAGAGATATGCTACGTAAGCCTGTTCAACATTTGAAATTTACTTTTGTGAAAGAAACACACTTTTGTTAAGCGGAAAACGGTATTTCTCGAATGTGACAAATAATGCACTTGTAATCGTTATTACGAAATTAATGTAGATGACACGATAGAATTTGTTTAACATGACAGAAAACAAGCAAAAGATCGTCGCTCTTGTGATTGTAGTATTTATGTAAAAATGTTTATGTCATTTAAAGTGGTAAGGAATTTTCGAGAAAGATTGGTAAAATTTTTTTCACAGGTATATCGATACACTTGCAAAGTGCAATCGCATTTTTTTTTTTTTTTTTAAATGGTACTGTATTTTTTTTGCAGATTGCTTTTTCGGATTGTTCTACGAATAGAAGTATTATAGTATATTAATTATACTGTTTGAAAATCTTGTTATCCGAACAGACTATTGTTCAGATGTTTTTGTTATGAAACAATGAATCGTGTTTCAGAAGGAAACACGATTATTAACAAAGGTTCCATTACAGTAACTGTGTAACATTAATGGCGTAATGGATTCCGTGCGCGCAGAATTTTGGTGGAGATTTAACAATGTAGCCATTCATGTGGCACTGTAATAGCTAAACATTGACCAGAAAAAAATAACAATTGTTAAAAATGCATGGCCAAAGGGGAGAAGTTAAATATGAAATAATCTGTCCATATAAAATGTTTCCTATTATTATTATCATTTGTATTTGAGGTTCTAATAGTTGATTTTAAAATATAATATTCAGGATGATTGATAATTTCGCAAATATAAAGACATTTTAATCCTCTCGTATGAACATAAACAGTACTTTTTAATTTAGGTTTATAATTTAATATGAACGTAATCTATAAACTAAAATTTGTATTTATTAGTAGTATTAGTAGTAT